CCAACGGGGCGAGAGAAGGATACAATAATAGGAGAAAATAATATTGGCATTGACAGTCTAACTCCGATGGGCACGTTGTTTGTGCTCTGATTTGTGCGCGTTCATGTATGAGTAGGTGGTGCTGGGTCGGATGTGTGTTGATTGTTGGATGGACAGTACAGGCGCTAGGTTTGATATTGATCATGAGTTGGTGGTTAGTACTCACAGTATATTTCAATGGTAGATAGATAAGAAGAAACGTTGTGCCTGCTGTTACTTAAGGGAAGGGTTTGTGTTTCATTCATCTGAGGTTGTCAGGTGATGTTTTCGCTGGTGCTGATCCATGTTCAGGTTAATGTGCTTCCGTTGGCATATTTGCATTAATCAAACTATATACTCAACTTCCCAGTACCAGGAGAATAGAATTTAAATGATCCTGAGGAACTAAGCGGTCGTTATCTAGTTTTTATCAGCGTGAATGGGACTCAAGGCCTTAAAAAGTCCAAATGGACAGTCCTTTTGTTTGACTTGGTCTCCTTAATTCTGGCACTTCCTCATCTGGACGTGTGTTTGACTGAAGACCAATCTTAGTACTTCTGCCTTCGTTCGAGGCCTGATGATGTTTATATTCATTACTCTGACTATCAGACAGGAGAAGTGGTTCAAAGATATTATTTAGTATTTGCAGTCAGTGTTGAGTTGGTATTGGGAGGTATATGTCCCAAGAAAGATTGAAGAGAACTTTCCTCATCGGCAGATAGTAATTATAGAATTATGATATCTGTATATCTGTCTTCAAACTTTAAACTGACATGATCAAATGTTTCTTCTCTAATGAAGAATGGGCACAGAAATCAGTAGCTGAACTGATGTTTCAGGAAGATCTTTCCTCAGACCTACTTAACTCTCTCCTGCTCAAATGGTCAGCTTCGTGGTCTTCTATCTTACTGTTCATCAGGATAAATGAAGTCTGCTATACGTTCTTGTTGCTAGGTTTTCGACTCTGAAAGATTAAATATCTGCTTCTGTAGGAATGTCTGTTTCTGAGGTTCTGCTGGGCCAAGCTGGGATTCAATAAGCCTAATACGAATCGTCAAAGCCTCTAACAAAGCTCAGTAAGTGGGATTTATTCATTAAAAAATACAGTGTTATCTTTCAACTTATTGTTTCCTTACTGTTGTCTCTCCAGATTGAGTGGCTGTAACCTCTCAGAGAGAAGCTGTGAAGCTCTGTCCTCAGTTCTCAGCTCCCAGTCCTCTAGTCTGAGAGAGCTGGACCTGAGTAACAACAACCTGCAGGATTCAGGAGTGAAGCTGCTGTTAGCTGGACTGAGGAGTACACACTGTAAACTGGAAATTCTCAGGTTGGATTGAGTTACTGATTGTTGTAAAACAATTGAAATTTATACTTCAGGCTACAAACTCCATGCTGCCTCTCGTATGTGACAATCGGTTTTCCATCCGGATATTATATTTTACATAATTGGAAATATTATTATTATTATTATTATTATTGAGTTGGCTTTTTGTTGTTTTTGTTTAAACAGATATGAACTCTGGCCTAAATAGAGAAACAGATCTGATCTGGTTTGATCTAACGTAATTTAATATTTGTATTTATAATAAATAAATATATATATTTATTAATTTTTTAGATAATTAAATGTCATATCCAAACTAATTTGAACTATTTCTTAGTTTTGTCCCAGAGTTAAATTTCTGGTTTATGTGTTCCCTGTGGGAACTTTGTTATCTCTGGCTGTCTTTAGACCAGACAGAACTTTAAAAATGAATACATTTTTGTTTGTCTCCTTGTAGTCCAGGTGTTATGTGAAAATAATGTTCACTTTTTCATGATTGCACGAAACTCTGCAGACAGGTAGTTTGGAGACCTGTACATTTTCAGAAATGGAGCCATCACAAAAACACCTTGTGGCAGCCATGGCGGCCATTTTACTTTCCTCTATAATCACGTTATGTATTTTGTATCATATCTCCTGAACCAAACATGATAACAAAGCAATGGTGATTTCTCCCCCTATTTTTCGATGGTCAAAGATTAGAATGATACCACATACAACATAATAAATTGTTTAGGTGACGGTTCATGGTGTTTTGAGGAGGAAATATATTCATAATTATCAAATATAATAATATTCAATATGTCCATAACAAGTTAGCTTTAGAAAATAATGTATCTTTGAGATTTAAACTGCACAGTATTCACCATTTTACAATATGCGTAACAACATAGCAATGGGCTAGGCTAAAAACAAGGCTTAGTTGGTTCATTTGTCATCTGCGCAAATACTCAGCCTGGCTTGGGGCCCTTCATTCACAGATGTCCTAACACATTAACATATTATGATTGGCTGTACATCGGAAATTAGAACGAATATGGATTACCTACAACAGGACACAGCTGCAGAAAATCTTCACTCTACTTAGTGCACTCTTCTAGTTTGCATTTGCAATGATGCAGAAGTCTTTCTTGCAGCCACAACTTAAAAGTTCAAGGATGAACTGGTGAGAAATTGATCAGAATGTCCTGTTTTTATCCCCTGTTAGCTTTTCTTACAAGGATGGACTGGCTTGCCTGGGAAAGAGTAGACCGCAATGGTCCCAAATTGCGTGGGTCAATCAAACCCAAGTCTGTTGAAGATGGCATAATTGTCCCAGACATTGTCTTCCTTCATTCACTGCTCTTTTTAAGTTACTGCACCAGTGCATTTGCAAACAGGGGCAAAAATATGGCATGGGATAACTGAAATTCCAGTGGCATGTCAACAAAGGCCTTTATGGCTCTATCAAAGGTTCCAAAAAAGCAAATTAATCAAGCCTGAAGGAATGGCGCAAATCCCCTCAATGATGCACTGGTGCAGTACCTCAAAAGAGAAGTGTTGGGGACAAGCACTAGAGGTGGCACAACGTATGCCATCTCCAAAACACTTGGGTTAATTGACCCATGTGATTTAAGACCATTTTGATTGACTCAGGAACACAAGCAAGTCAGTCCATCCATTAAGTTTTTAAAATGCATGGGGGAGCACAGTAGCTCACCTGGCAGAGCACACACCCCATATAGGCCGAGTTTTTACCACAGTGGCATTCACCATTAACTATTCACCTGAACATCACATATTCTGTGTTATAATGTAGGGTTCAGGAGATACAGTCAGGTCCATAAATATTGGGACATCGACACAATTCTAATCTTTTTGGCTCTATACACCACCACAATGGATTTGAAATGAAACGAACAAGTGTTGCTTTAACTGCAGAGCTTTCACGCTTTAATTTGAGGGTTATTTACATCCAAAATCAGTGAACGGGTGTAGGGATCAGGTTTCGTAGTATGTGCCCCCACTTTTTAGGACCAAAAGTTAATGCGACCAAATTATCACAATCATAAATCAAACTTTCACTTTTTGTAACTATGGTTGCAAATTCCTTTTGCAGGGTCAATTAAGTCCTGAAGTCTGGAACGGCATTAGAACATCACCAGACGCCTGGGTTTCATCCCTGGGTGATGCTCTGCCAGGCCTCTACTGCAACTGTTTCAGTTCCTGCTATGTTTCTTGGGGATTTTCCCTTCGTTTTGGTTCTTCAGCAAGTGAACATGCAGTGCTTCAATCCGGATCAGGTCAGGTGAATTGACTGTGGCCATTGCATAAACATTCACTTCTCTTGGCCTTAAATAACCTTTTGGTGCTTTCGCAGTAGCTTGCGGGGTCAATGACATTTACCTTTCCTATCTCCATAACTCTTCTCTTCCCATCACTACATGGTACAGTTAGATCTTTTTTCAATCATGTCCATAAGGGATGTTGTTCCAGGAATTGTGAAGGCTATTTTTAGATGTTGTTTGGGCAACTTCATCATCTGCCTTCCTGTTTTTGAGGGACTCCAATGGTTTACATCTTGCGCGTGGAACCCTCTGGTATATCACATCTGGTGGAAGGTCTTCTCTTTTTGAAGTCTTTTGGTGTTGCTGACTACGCGTGCCGTTCCTTTCTTTTTAAGAATTCAAAACCGCACCTAATGTTTTTCTATCTCTCTGATGGGTTTGGTATTGATTTTTCATACTTATGAGTGGCTTCCTTCACTAGATAGTGACAGCTCTTTGATTTTCATAATTGAGAGTTGACAGCAACAGATTCCAAATGCAAATAGCACACTTGAAATGAACTCTAGACCTTTTATCTGCTCCTTGTAAATGGGATAATGAGGGAATAACACACACCTGGCCATGGAACAGCTGAGCAGCCAATTGTCCCATTACTTTTGGTCCTTAAAAAGTGGGAGGCCACATATACAAACTGTTGTAATTCTTACACCATTCACCTGATTTGGATGTAAATACCCTCAAATTAAAGCTGAAAGTCTGCAGTTAAAGCACATCTTGTTCGTTTCATTTCAAATCCATTGTGGTGTATAGAGCCAAAAAGATTAGAATTGTGTCCATGTCCCAATATTTATGGACCTGACTGTATGATGCACTCAAGTACATCATTTGGTTATGGCAGAAAGTAAAATGACTGCTATGGCCGTCTTGATGCATTTTTTTACATTTTTTCACTGGCTCCATTTCTGAATATGTTCAGGGCCCCAAACTGTACATTTGTACCAAGTTTCATGCTTTTATGTTACAGTGAACATATCACCTCAAATTTAGCACATATATCATCTGGACTATTGTTTATTATTTCTTCTTCAGACTGGGTGGCTGTAACCTCTTAAACAGAAGTCTTGAAGCTCTGTCCTCAGTTCTCAGCTCCCAGTCCTCTAGTCTGAGAGAGCTGGACCTGAGTAACAACGATCTGCAAGATTCAGGAGTGATGCTGCTGAGAACTGGACTGGAGAGTCCACACTGTACACTGGAAACTCTCAGGTCAGGAATTATTAATACATTCAACTGATGACCATTTAAAATCTTATTGACATTAATGGATATATAGCTAACATAAGTAGGAGTGTGTTTGCCAGTATAATTTGTTAAAAGCATTAGTTTCTCGAATCAGAAAATTACTATCCATGAATATTTTTCATAATTAGGGACTGAGCCAGCGACCACTGGAGGTCCCTATTGTATTGGCTAGAATTCTTACCTATTCTTATTATTATTTTTAGCCCCCTTCGACTGCATTTTTGCCCCCTAGAACATATACAAAAAGTCAATTTTATTTGGCAAAGTTGTCAGGCCTGGTGAAAATAGGATATTCTATGCGTGGCTTTTGGCTATCATAAAAAATGCGTTTAGGCTAATAACTTCTGCATAGTTTGTCGCACTTTTCGCCTTGTATTTGAACGAACCCCTCCTAGGAATTCGGAATTGGCTCAAATTGGTCAGTACGTCAGAGTATGTTGGCTGATTAAAAGTTGTGCTATTGTGATGTACGGTTGAAGGGCGTGTGGGGTGGGATGGGTCATTGTTGACCGCTGTTCAGGCCCCCCGACGTAGGTTGATGGCGAGGTCCCGCTCAATGCTGCTTGCAGCTTTAATTTTCTTTTGTCTTTGTTGTAGAAGTTTTAAATATCACAAATGATTCAAAATGTATTCTAAATGTGGCTCCAAAGCATTGTATCTGTATTGAATCAGATTTGTGTCAATATAAAACAAAACAACATTTTGCAATATCAAACAAAAAATGAAATCATTGCCACTCCCCTCAATAATAATAATAACAAACTTGATTAACTCCAGGCAAACACAAGATACAAGTGGGCATACAAGGAAGTAAATCTCAGAGTCCTGGCTTGTTGACCGAGTCAGAATTTTCTTTAGATGGCTTTGGAGTACGACTTAGATTTGACCGGGACTGCACCATGGGGGTGGCTTATATGTGTATAAACATGAAGCATGTGTACAACTGTCAAGATCTGGAGAGTCATTCTGTTCAGCTGACATCAAACTGATTTCTCAAACTGACCGCGTACATTTGGCCAGCTGAATATTGTCGTTTACATCCCACCCTCTGGCAACGCCACTCGCACAGCAAAGGCTGTTTATTTGGAAATCGAGGGTGGGGTTAGTTAGTGCTCATTGGTTAATTGCCGGTAGGCCCCATCTTTGTAGTCTGACATGTTCTGAATGACTATAGTGCCCGCTTTGTCAGCATTCATAGTGATCTCAGAGTCTTTTGAAAGTTCTTGTATAGCCAAGTGTTGATCTTTACTTGAATTTGAGACGGAATGTGGGGCTTTGTCTTTCAGTAATTCAACAGTTTCTTGCTCAACTATTCTGCAAAAAGTCGGGATTGAGGGATTTTAAGTAAAAGGCATAAATGTGCTTTTAGGTTTAAATACAGGTTTTTCAGACCTTTTGTATATCAGAGGTGCCAACCACAGTTTCAGTTGAATCTTTCTAAAGAAATGGAATTAACCTCAAAAGAGTTTGTTTAGGGACAACGCTTAAACCTTTAGTAAGAGCATAAAGTTGATGGGGAGTGAGTACCTTATCAGAGAGGTTAATCACAGGATTCTGCCTTGCTAGCAGGTGAAAGGCTTGTTCCTGGAATCTGGCCTTTCTTGGCCACAGGCCATTTTTTGAATGGTGATTTCTACTTGCTGTATTAGCTGGGTGCTAGTAGTAGCTTCTGTTGGAATCCGAGTCATTCAACAGCATGAGATCCCTGGAACTTTTAGTCAATATTTTGCACCACTTCTTAAAGTCCTCATTTTGTGCACAGTTACCACCACATGTTTTTTTTTTGTGTATGTGTAGGCTGTCAGGCTGTCTGA